GAGAGACAGAGAGAGAGACAGAGAGAGACAGAGAGAGACAGAGAGAGGAGAGCCTCACACTCCAGGGATGGAGCTTCCTGCATTGTAGGAATCACTATCCAGTTTGTACTGAGCACCCACCACTGCCTGACTGGCACCAGACCTCGCACCCCACTCTCTGGTCTTCCCACACTGGAGTTCTTTATGATGGCATCCTTCACATCATGGCTTCCTGTGGGAAAGAGGTCACATCTAAACACACAGCATGTGCTTAGGAGTCTGTTTGCTGCAGGATGGTTGTTGGAATGGGCAAAATAAACCCCCCAAAAACCTAACCAAAACAACAACAACAACAACAAATAAACTCTGCTTGCTTGGGTAACCTACTGAGCCAAGAGACAGAACTGAGAGCTGTGCCACAATGCTTGACTTTAACCTCTTTGTGATTCTGTTTCCTCAAGGATAAGCCACCTTATATTTTTGCATGCTGTTTTTAGCTTGTGTAATTCTTCCAAAGTTATTATATTATTTGTCCCTGCGGCAGCTTGCTAGAAGACTTAGAGAGCTAGACATTTTATTGCCATTTAAGGGACAAGAAAACAGAAACAGCAGTGGGGGGAGGGGCATGCAAAAACAAAGCTCACAGCTTGTACAGTCGGCACTGTAACCTGGTCAGATGTCTGCCTAGTGTTGGATGCCACTCACAGGTGTGAATTTGTCCCCAGAGGGAGCACATTCGAAGTCTTCCAGGTGTGTGAGGCCAGTCAACACAAGATGTCCAGAACAGGGTATTGGAGGGTAGGATGTCAGGGCTTTCTTTACTCTTTTGTGAGACAGGTTCTCACTGTGTAGCCTAGGTTGGCCCCAAATTTAATGATCCTCCCACCACAGTTTTCCCAGTGCTGGAATTATAGACGTATGCCATAATAGCAGGTGTAAGGATATCTGCACTTACCCAGTGCCCAGAATCCCGTTTACTAGGCAGAGCTCTTGAGCAAAGATTTTTCAAGTACTCAGTGTCCTTGTCTACAAAATAAAGATAGTAATCATTGTTCCTTGGAGTGGTGTGTGTGTGTGTGTGTGTGTGTGCATGCGTATGTATGTGTGTGTGTGTGATGTTTGCTGTGTTTGTGACATGTATATACTTGTTATTGTGGGTTTGTTCATACGTGCGCATGTGGAGGTTAGAGGTTGACACTGGCTGTCTACTGTGGTGACTCTTCATCTTTTCTTTTTGAGACAGGATCTCTCACTACACCTGAAACTCCATTTGGCAAGGCCATCTGGTTAAACAGCTTCAGAACCCACCTGTCTCTGTCCCACAACTCCCAGCAACTCCCAGCACTGGGGCTACAAGCATGTGATGCCATTAATCTTTGTTGTAAGTCCTGGAACTCAGGTGTCTATGCTTGTGTAGCAGGACTTTACTGACAGAGCCATCCATCCCTAGCCCCACTGTTTGTCCCATTTTTATGAGAATACAATTAATGTTTTTCTTCTTTATATGATCTTTTCCAGGCTGGTCTTAAATTCACTATATAACCAATGCTGCCTTGAAGTTCAGATTTCTTGCCTCTACCTCCCAAGTGCTGCGATTGAGGCGTGCACTACTACATCTGGCTTATGAATTAGTATTTGTAAATCACGTATACCAATCTCACTTGTGAAAGGTTTATTAGACCTGTTCAATCAATCAATCAATCAATCAATCAATCAATCAATCAAATAACAGAATAAGACAGGAGGCGTTGACAGAGATGGGATCTGGATTACTGAGCACTGGTGTGAGTCAGAACGCTGGACAGCTCCCAAAGTTTTTGGTCCGCCATATTGGTTGCTGGAGAAACTCTCTGCTAGAAAGGCAGATATCAGTCTTTATTATTTGTTAATCTTTAATCCCCGAACTTGGGGATTCTCCTCAACATCCTTGCTGTCTGTGATGTGAAGGAAGGCACAAAGCTCTTCACCATGAGGGCTCATCTTGAGGCGGAAGGTGGAGTGAGAACCATGTCCACTCTCACAAGTGTGCTGTTATAGAAACATTCTTTCTCAGGATGAGAGACTGTGTCACGTGTGTGATGTTGGAGACAAGGGACCCAGAGGCTTGTACAGTGCAGTGTGGACAGGGGATATGTCCCCACCAATTCTTCCCAGAATAATCATTAAGGACAGAGTCAGGGCTAGGGGGAGTAGAGCAGGAAATAGAGGCATTTAAAGGTTCCTGTAGTTGAGATGGAATCTAAGGACTCCGTATAGCTCAGACAGCTTAGAACCAGAAGGCTTTCTCTATGCTTACCTCAGAGCTGCTTCTGTACCTATCCAGCTCCAACCAGTCTATGACCTGCTGGTGAATTACTTTTCAGGAGAAGAACTGAGCTCAGTGGCTCTTATCTCTGGGCCCCCTCTGTACGCTGGAGATCTGACACACATCATCTCAGTTAAGCCTTCCCAGAACTCTATGAGTTGGACATTGCCTATCTCATTTTACTGTTGGGAAGATGGCAGTTCATAGAAGTCCAGTCACATTCCTAAAGGGAAATAATGGGCAAATAATGAAGTTTAGGTTTTGGTCCTTTCTTTCCAAGAAATGCTAGTTTCAGTGTTAGCAGTGAATGACGGCCTCCTTCTCACTTTCTCCTGCTATAGCATGTTGGACTCTGGTGAGTCACAGCATCAAGACCTTATTGCAATGACGAATTCATCAATAGTTTAGTCCTGTTACTGAAGTAACTCTCAGCAGTTAAAGTCTTGGGTGGAGGATGTAGTTCAGTGGTAGAGCACTTGTCTGGCATGTCAAAGGCTCTGGGTTCCATCTCTAGCACTGCAAAAAAAAATGTTGAAGTCTGTTTCAACTTATGGGTGAAATGCCTACCCCCTCAGACAGCAGCTCTGGTTAGGACTACCCAACCAGCCCTGTCTGCTAACATCCATCTCTCCCCATCACACAGAGGAGGTGGCTGAAGGAAAGAATGCCATCCTTATTGGAATGAGCCAGTGGAGCTCCAATGACCTGGTGGAGCAGATTGAGACCATGGGGAAGCTGGATGAGCATCAAGGTGAGTCTGCCTCTCCCAAGCCCTGACTGTGCATGTGTGTTACAGGGTGGGGGTAGGGCTGCCCATTGTGCCTGGGACCTACAGGAACTCTTTAGGTGACAGAGGGTCTGGGTGGAGGTTGAGGGGGTAGTGCTCTATAGGGCTGCCTGGTTGGGGGTGCAAAACAACTCCATGGCACATCCACAGGATACTTCCTTTGTTCATCAAGTGGCATTCAGGAGCATGGGTAATTAAGGGCAATCAAGGTCAAACTATTAAGTTCCAGGACTATGGGACTGAGGTCATTTATATAAGATAGGCAGGCTCCCAGGCACTAACCCACTCACAAAACCTGCTTGAATGCTTCCCAAGGCAGTCATAGTCCAAGCACTTCCTACCAGGCTCCATCTTTAAGAGGTTTCACTGTCTCCATGCTTTTACATTGGGGACTAAGCACCCAGCATATGAACCTTCAGGAACAGACACACCCAATCAGTAGCACTCATTTTCTTTCTTTCTTTTTTTTCTATCCTTTCTTGGCCTTGACACTAGACAGTTTTAGTCTGGGCCAGAGTGGCTAAGTGGCTATGGCCATCCTATTAGGGGCTGTCTAGCAGAGGTGGTGTTGACCCAGCTCAAGAAAATGGTCACCTTGCCCAAGTACCCAATCCTTTTCTTATCCTCCATCCCCTTCACTTTTGGGCCAGAGCTTGTCCCATGCAGAAGAACCCATCCTGAGCGATGGGTAGGCTCAAGCTGTTGTTTTCTTTGTATGAATGAAGAAGCTATGAGAAGCTGGGTCTGAGTCTTATTTAAGATCCTTCTAGTCTAGGATCTTAAATTGACATCTCTAAATTGACCTTAGGGGCCAGATGCAGACTGTCCCCTTCCATGAATGTGACACTGGTCTAGGAAATGTTTAAAGGCTGGGTCCTACTAGCTTGACTTGTGATCTGGGAGATAGTGCCCCAGCCACATATTTGCAGATGGCTCCTCAGTCTGCTCTTTGCTTCACACCCCCAGGGGCTCAGAAGGAGTACAGAATGGGTCAGGTATTCTGGATCCTCCTCCCCAACCATGCTTGGTAGCCACAAAAAAGACAAGTCTAGGTTTGTAGTCACCACTCAGTTGGCCTTCCCTCCTCACTCCCACCCCCACCTGTCTGCTTAGGCTTGTGTGACTCAGACCCAGTGTGAGCTCAGCAGAGGTGAGGGAGAGGCAGGGTGAACTGTGAGGGTGGTATGGTGGTTGGGGGAATGGTGTAAGGAAACAGAAGGAAGGCCTATTGGACAAGCAGAGCCTTAAAAGTCTAAGGTTTGGACAGGAGCCTTGGTCCTGCTGTCTCTTGGTTTCTTCAGCTGAAGTGTGGGGTATGAGTATTAAGGGTGTGAGAATTATGAGATAATACTTGCAAAAGTGCACCCAGTCACAGGTCGTTGTAGTGATGGAATGAACAATCTTGCACAAGCATAGCTGTAGCATAGCAAACGGCATGTGCTGGTGCAGGATCAAGTCAGGGAAGTGAGTGGTCTGACTGCAAAGGCTGGTGCCATGGCACCCACCCTCCTGACCCCCAGTACAGAATGTGGAGCAGAGAGCAGGGAGCAGAGAAGGAAGAGAGTATTCAGAAGGGCAAGCCAGCTGCATTTCTGGCTCCCACTTTCCCGTGGATTCATAATGTGGGTTGCCATAACACAAAGGAACATACATGTGAAATGTCACTTCACATATCAATTGTAGGGCCTCTGCAGGAACCTAGCCTTGTGCTAGATGCAGGGGAAACAAAGATGGGCAAGATAGTATCTTCATCCTCAGGGCCTGCCCCACAGTGGCAGGATGCTGTGCAGTGAGTCAGGCTGAGCAAAGGACTGAAGAGGGAGGCTCTGGGGACCCTTCCAGGTAGAAGGATTTCTGACTGTGCTTGCTGGAAAAGAACTGATGATCTAAACAAGCTGATGCTACTGCCTGCTTCAAGCTTCCTATCCTTCCCATCTCTCATCCCAGGAACTCCTTTCATGGTGGTGCCTTGGCTGGTCCACCTTACCTCCAGCTAAGACCTCTCAGGAGCTCCAGACTTCTGATTGTTGGTAGCACTCTGTCTGGATGACTCAAAGACCCTTCATGCTCTTCAGCTTCAGAACACAGTTAGCTTTCTTCTGCCCCTTGAATTCTCTTTTGCATTTCATCTTTTCTGTTCATCACCATTTCTGTCATGTTACACAGGCTCTCCTCAGTCATCTGAACATCCAGTCCTTGAGGGCACTGACACTGAGGAGAGTGCACTGGCTTGCACATGCTCCTGGGCTATTGCTATTGTCCTCCCTTCCTCCCTTCCTCCCTTCCTCCCTTCCTCCCTTCCTCCCTTCCTCCCTTCCTCCCTTCCTCCCTCCCTCCCTCCCTCCCTCCCTCCCTCCCTCCTTCCCTTCCTTCTTTCTTCTTTCCTCCCTCCTTCCCTCCCTTCCTCATCCCTTTCTTTCATTCTTTTGTTCTTTTATTGTGAAAACATCTTGATCACTGCATTGTTTGTTCTGTGGGTTTCTTTATGACCTAGATCATGCACATGTCCCAGAGAGAATGCTTTTGTCCTTCCTTCCTTCCTTCCTTCCTTCCTTCCTTCCTTCCTTTTTGTTTATTTGTTTGTTTTTTGTTTTTGAGACAGGGACTCTCTATATAGCTCTGGCTGTCCTGGAACTCACCAAATAGAATAGGCTGGCTTGAACTCACAGAGATCCTCCTGCCTCTGCCTCCCAAATACTGGAATTAAAGGTATGTGCCACTGCATCTGGCTGGTCTTGTTTCTTTTTCTCTGAACTGGAGGCTTTCACTCACCTAGAATATTCTTTTGCTAAATTTATAGTTCACAGTCTCTTCTCCCCATGGGCGATGCAATTTTAGACCCCACACCCATATGTGGCACAGGCTTAGAGTGTTAATTACTCATGTGTGACTTTTTCTTTCTCACTGTCTGAGAATGTTTTTTTTGCTGCTGCCCCAAAGGAATGGTGTCTGAATATGCATGTATGTGTATGTGAATTTGTGTGTATGTATGTTTGTATATGTGCTTATGTGTATGTGTATTTGTTTGTGTATATGTTTATGCTGTATACATTTGTGTATGTGTGTATTTAAGTGTTTGTATGTATATTGCATGTTTGTATGTATGTGTGTTTAAGTGTTTGTACATGTCTGTATTTGGGTGTGTACGCATATATATGAGTGTTCCTTTATGGATGTCACATCCCTTCAAGGACATACTTTAGCTCCTGGCTATCTACAGACTGGGGCCAAGTCTGGAGTTGCCAGTTTGTCCCCAACCCTTAGCCTGGATCCTCCAGCCATGGGATCCCAGGTCTGCTCTGTGCAGCTGTTGACTTCCTTTCCAGTGCACCCCTGGGTTTGCTTCTGTCCTTTGTTAGTCGCCAACCTTTATTGCAGTCCTGGCTATATAGTCACCTACTGGGTGATATGTATTCTACTAAAAAGACACCCTTCAGCATTAGCCCTGTGCACTCTGGTTATTATTTGACCATTACTTGTGCTGTTTTTTACTTAGTAATTTTTACTGTAATAAGAGCCACATAACTTAAAATATACTTTTTAAAATATATTAAGTGTCTAGTTCAGCAGTGCTAGGTCACGCTGCTCTCCGGCTGTCGCCATGCATCTTAGGAACTTTGTTACCATTCCAAATTGACACCACATTGAGCACCAATCCCTATCCCCCCAGCCCCTGACAAGTAGCAGGCTGCTTTCTTCTCCAGGTCACTGAGAAGTAGGCTCATGCAGTGTTTGTCCCTTTGTGTCTGGATATTTTCAATAGCATAATGTTTTTGAGATTCACCCATGTTTAGCACGAATCAGGACTTTATTCTATTTTGTGGCTGAATAACTTTCCATTGTATATGCCATTATGCTTATCCACTCATCTGTTGATGGACATTCAGGTTGTTTCTGTTTTTCCCCTATTGTGACTAATGTGGCTGTGAACATTTGGAGTACAAATATCCACCTTCTTTCTTGAATGCACTCTTGTTGAGAGAAAAATCAAACAATGGAAACAGAGCCACAGTCTTCCTTCCCAGTCCCTTCCATGGCAGACCTCATCAAACAGCTTTGCGGTATGCATAGTTCTATGGCTCAGATTAGACATTAGTGTTGCAAGTCATTCTTTTATTTTTTATTTATCCTATTCTGAATCGCACTGTTGCATGACAGACATGCTGTCACTTGCACACACATTCTGTTGCAATAGATGTTGACATATTTCATTAAAGGAATGATTAGACTTTATTTAAGATGATGTAGACCTGTGTATGTCTCTGTGTGAGTACATGCACATGAGTGCAGGTGCCCATAGAGGCCAGAAGAGGGCATCAGATCCCCTGGAGCTGGAGATACAGGTGGTTGTGAGCTTCCTGATATGGGTGCTGGGAACCAAACTCAGGTCCTCTGCAAGATCAGTGTATACTCTGAGCTGCTGAGTCCACTCTCTAGCCCCTCTTCTGAATTGTTGTTGTTGTTGTTATTATTATTATTATTATTATTATTATTATTATTAATGTGTGTGTGTGTTTAAGCAGGGTCTCTTTATGTAACCCTGGATGTCCTAGAACTTACTATATAGACCAAGTTGGACTTGTACTTACAGAGATATGCCTGACTCTGCCTCCAGAGTACCTGATTTTCTTAAACACATTTTTTGTTCATCTTTTATTGGAACATTTGCCCTTTGCTTCTACTTATAAGGGAGCCTTTACATATTCTAGATGTAGCCCATTTTCAGTTACTGAGTAGTTACTTTTCTCACGATTGTGAGCCATCATCCAACAGGAGGCGACCTAAATGAGGTAAGATTGATTTTGTGTCAGGTGATACAATCTATCATGTCTGAGAAGGGACCACATCTCCCTGAATCAAGAAGCAGAGAAAGGAACATACCCAGACTTAGCTAGCTTTTTCCTTTCCTTTCCTGTTTTAAAAAAAAAAACAAAACAAAGCAAAACAGGTGTATATGTGTGTGG